CTATGAATGATTATAATGGTATTAGTTTCACAATTAGTTCTATAATGCATGATTATATCATGTATATGTACGTTTCATTGTTACGTTAAGATTGAGATGATTTTTGTTTGAAATTGTTTTCATAGGAACGGGTTCGGTCAGAACTTTATGGAATAGATATTTGTTCTTTGGAAAGGTTCTGGAACCTGTTCTTTAATCAATGCTTTTTGTTCGAATTTGTCATTCTCGAAAAACCGTTAATGAATTATCATTGTCTTAATCATATTTAGAAAACTTACATATAATATCTTTTAAAAAATTCGTGATATTTTTAAATCATTCCAAGATGTTTTTGGGGACTAGTGTGCGTTCAATTAGACTAGTATAGTAGCAATGTATAACTGGAGCAAAAGAAATATAAAAACTCAATGTTGCACAGAACGGGTTCCAGAAGTAATGTCTATAGTTTCAAGGTTGGGTTCTATAGTTGAAACAAAATGTCGACTTTTCAAACTTTTTTGCGACTTTTCGACTTTTATTTGCAAAATCCATTTTTCGACTTTTTTACAAGATAGTCGACTTATCGACTTTGTTAGAATAGAAAAGTCGACTTTTAGACATTTTATTTTTCCCAAATCAACTATTTGATTTGTAAATAATTGTGGAAAAAGTCGAAATAAGTAGAAAACTGTAGAAAAGGCTGAAATTTTGATCTTGAAAAATTTTGATTGAGAAAAATGGAAGAAAGTAGTAGAAGTCCGAAAAAAGTCGACTTTTCATAAATTACTAAAAGTCGAATTAATTAAAAAAAGTCATTGTTTTCTTTCAACTACTTATAGACCCCACTTCGAATTATAGAAATTTATCGATCAGTTCTAAGACAAGTACGGGAACTGGTTTTAAATATTGAACATGCGAGACCACCTTTAATAATTTGTTTAAAAAACCCCGTATTGAATTATCTGAATGGCTGCTGAGTTTCAACACAATTGCAGAAAGTCGTATGGTTCGATATTGGAAAGTGATTAATACTCACAAATTCGATATTTATATGAGATTTATGAGCGTTATACAGATATTCGGAAGAAGACATTCTGTGAGTTTAATCGATCGATCCTGATAATATTTTGATCGATTAGTATTACCTATAAAATACGTAGAATCTAAGATATTTTTGTGTTTATTCTAGGACAAATTATTATTAGAGTTCGAGAGAGCGTATGTTCATAAAGAGCAAACGAATGTTGTAAACTAACAGTGGTGTAGAGTATAATTAAAACAAATTTTGAAATCACATTATTTTTTAAAGAAAGTATGGTCAGTTTTCTTAAAGAATTTTGTGAAAAAAATATGTAATTGTGCAAAAATCTATTAATTAAATATTTTTTGTAAATATATACACAAAATATATTAACCACAAGCTCATTATTAATTATCATACTGGTTGGTTGGTTAGTTGCTCTTTCTATGACCCCATAAGCAAATTATTTTCAATGAAAGTTTGCATCATTTATAACTTTGTCTTAATGAGTTTTGCCAAAAACAAAAACAGAACTTGTAAGCAAATTCTATATTTAAGAAATTAAACAAAAACAAGTTTCTTACTAATAAATTTTGAGAAATAAATATGTATGTGCGTACAAGTTGTAAGCTTAGTGGCAAAAGGTGTTAAGTGCTGTTTTTAGTTGGGTTCTTAAAGGACAGTAGTTTTAAGGGGAAATGTTTTGGATTATGGTTCAAATGACAAAATGGGTTCAGTTTAAAGAAATGCTTAATATGGACTTAGCACTTTCTATTATCTTTTCAATTGTTCCACCCTAATATAATCTTTAGTTTATGGAGTTAGCTTTTTTGCCAACTAAGCTAACGTATGATAATATTTGTAAAAACATGTATGTACATTTAAATAAACAAAAATTTGTATATCATCAATTTTATTTAAATCATAAAAAAGTAACGGAAATAAATGTCAAATAAAAAATGTGCGCAGTTTTTAATTTTCTGCTGCTTAAATAATACGAAAATTATAAAAATTAATGTGAACAAAATTCAAAATATACAACAAAACCAATAATTAAGTGATTTTATTTAATTTCTTTTCTTTTAAACCTTTATATGTTGCTAATAATACTAAACAATAAATTTCGCTTTCTTCCTCTTAAATGTAGAAAGCCAACTTTTTAAAGTTTTAATATTTGCCATTAAAAAGGTCTTTTTAGCAACATATTTTAACCATTTAATTAAATTACAATAAAATATTCAATCAAAGAAAATTATTTAGATTTTGTTATAAACTTAAACATTGCATAATAAACTAAACAAAGAATTAAATTTGGGAAAGTTTAAAACATAATTGTAGGAGATATTGTAAACGTTTTCTATTAAAAAATAGACAAAGATTATAAAATAACATAAAATTTTATAATAAATATACACACACTGGTAACAGGTATTATTTTAAACAATATAAACATTTTAGTTTCAAAATAACAATAAAGAATACTAACGTTTTGTTTTTTGTTTATTTCTTTTCTATATCATATTAAAACTATAGAGAAAATCCGGTGTTTATCATATGAATTGTATATGAGTATTTTTTTATTGAATACTGTGACTGGCCTTATGTATCGTATAGAGAGAAAGATGAGACTATTCAAAACATTTATGATATTTATATGTATAAATTAATTTTTTCTATTATGATTATTTGTTGTCTCATTTTAACAAACAATTCATTGTCTAATGTCCATCCATAGCCAGTATCATATTCAAATCGATTTATTTTAACATCTCTTATATAACAGTTTTTTGTTATTATTTGTTGTTTTCTTTACACTTTCCAAGCACGATTTCCCACATAATTGAAATATGTATATAGTCCATATTGTTGTAATAGTTTTATTGACTTAGAATTCAAACTGGTTGTTGGATGTCATATAAACATCTGTTTTAATGTTTATTTCTAAACCTGAAAATTTCGTTGCACCCATATGAATATAATTTAAATTTAATTATTTTTAATTTGATTGCATTTGATCTTGAACTTAGTTCCAGTTTGAAAGTTCATACTAAAAACTCATTGAAGTCGTCGGTGTGCAATTTAATTATTAAAGTTAAAGTTCAGTAGAGTGTTGCTTTGCAAATAGAGAAATACAGAGAGAAATTATAATAAGTAAGAAGTATAGTCGATCATGTCCGACCTTATGATAAGCTATAGCGGGTAAGATCTGATTTGGACCCATCGCCAACAAATTTGTTAATGTTTTCTGTGAACCTAGTCAATTATGGATGTTAGAGTCATTTTCAGAGAGGGACTTTGTATGGGGTCCGTTATGGATCCCACGATCTTTAATATTCGACAAGGATATGCGACTCGTGGCTTGAATCCGAGTTTACTTGCTACTGGTCAGGGTTTATACTATTTATTAACGCATTCAAAGGGAGAATCCCTAAAGCTACTATGGCTTAATAAAATTGATCTTAGAATAATAACGGGACCTTACGGTCTCAGAGACTACAAATTCACGCTGAGGAATTCCATATCGTTTCTATGTACATAGATTCTGTGGCTTTCAGGAAGATAACTAAGAACAAATACAAATAGAGTATCGTAGAGCAATCATTCCCTAAGGATATATTCAACCTCCCACCGTCTAAATCTGTTATGTTCATGAGCGAGCTTAACTTTTTGTGGGGACCCAACGGGTTTAGTGTCCTTTCTGATCTAATTGAGACGGTAATTATATGGCCCTATTCGAAGCTACCCATATTTTTACTATGTACATATACTCTGGATTTCAAGAAGAAACCTCCGAATACATGTTGAATAACTGCCCATCACTAGGGTCTCGTAGAGCAAGAATTTTGGGTGCTGCATCACTACCCCCTAAAGATATATTCAACCTCTCCATCTAAATCTCTTATCTCCATGAGGGAGCTTAACCCCTTGTGATGACCAAAAGAATCAAATTAATGCCGTAGAGTTTAGTGCCTTTCTGATCTAATTGAGTCGGAGAGCCCTATTCGGTGCCGCCGTTTTAATGGGGTCTATAAGAAGAAATGAACCAATTTCTACCAAATTTTAACCAATAGGCTTCCTTATTTGACTGAATGAAATGTTTATACTTTGGTAACAATGTCAAGATGGACACGGGTATGACTTATGAATGAATGCAGGATCAATATTTCTGTGGGTTACAGACATCAGCCAAAATGATCGAACTAAACATTTCTAATTCATTCTCTTTACTATAAATAATAAAAATCGGTAGAAATATTCTTATAGCAACTTGTTTAAGATAATCTTGCAAGATCTGCTTAAAATGTAATTTTACGATCATATCTCCGAGGCATTAAACCATTTTTGAAGCCACATATATCTGTGGTTAGAGGAAAAAAGTGAGAAGATATCGATATTTCTCAAAGTTGTTTAGTATTAGAAATTAAATATTGGCTACCGATATTTTGATATAAATTTCAAATTAACCCAAAAAAGCTCACGGGTCCTAAATAATTCGATTCTCAATAAAATATTTCCACATTAAACATATTTTAGTCTTACGAAAGTTACAGAGATAAACCAAATATATTTTACAAATTTGACCTTTGACCCCGGTTATAAGGGTTAGGTTATATACATATCTCACTTTTTAAGGGCTTTATAAAAAAAATTTGAATAAAACAGAATACGAAACGCCACATTATTTGGAACTATGTACTTTACTTTGAGTTCAATGTAAAACAAACAAAAACACCCTAAATTTCAGATTAAGTGCATTCACATGTTTTACGCCCCAAAAATGTTAAACCAAAAAAAAGAACTACATATTTTTAGAATCTTGTAAACTACATGTCTATAGTAAGGAAATTAAGTACGTGCCTTAATTTGTTTTCATTTCGTATTGCTCCTTTTCTTTGAAATGAATATTTACTGCTGCGTATGATCAAATTACAATTTTATTTATTGATGATCACCATAAAAATACATACATATGTAAAAAAAAACAATAACAACAACTTACCATAAAATAAATATGCTGCCACAAAAATATAAATATTCAAATAATGTTGAATAATGACGTTTTGAGTTTATTTATGCTGCTTATGAATAAATAAATCCTTCAGAGTTTAGTTTTTAGAATTTGATCAATATAAAGAAATAGTTGTTGTTTTTGTTTTGAGATTTATGGAAGACAGCAAAGTAACAATCTGGTAGATAGAGTGGCAGGAATTTTAATTACAACAGTTTTAGTTGTTGTTGTTTTTTTTTATTTAAAAATAAATATGAATGTTAAATATTTATTGTTGAATTTTTATTTTTCTAATGTTGTTTTTGGTTTTTGCACTCTCTGTTTTATACTTAGTTATTAAATTTTGTTTTTGTTATTATTTTTAACTACAACTTATTAACTTTATAACTTAAATATTATAAATCACTATGAGCAACAAACTACAACAATTTATAGCTTATGAAAAAATTATAAATAAATAAATAAATGTTGTTATTGTTGTTGCTAATTTTAATCACTCTTTTGTGCACTTGTAGTTTGTAGTACACTTTCAAATAAATTCACAATTAAACTTTTATTAACAACAAACTAACTAAGTATGAATGAATGTATGTATGTGTGTTTGTATGATGCATTTATTTAAGTTAAATTAACTTTAATTACTTTTAATAATAATTTCGCTTTCGAAATCGATTTTTTCATATAAAATAGCTAACAAACAAAAATGTCGTTGAATTGCTTAAATTTGAAATTAACACTTTTCATTACACAAAATTTAATATCATCAAGTCAGCTACTTTTTTCTTTTCGTAATTTTCTTGTTCGTCTTGTTGAATATTGTCTATGATTTTTCTATTTAGAATTTTAGTTTTCAAACAAACTGTACGCATGCGCACCACCGTTTTTTTTTTTTTTAATTTTTAGCTTGCGTTTTCTATCTTTTTAACATTTCACGTTGCCAGACAAATTCAAACTAAATGAATGAAACTCAAACTCATGCTTCTAAAGTTAAACTCATCGTAATAGTAGACAAGCGAATGTATAATGTTCAATGAATAGAGCTGAGTAGAGAAGTACTACTACTGCTGCATATGTTTAGTTAACAGGGTTGGCAAAGTTGCTGCATTGGTATTTTTTTTATAAGTACAGAAAAAACACTCAATAGCAGGGAAGAACATTTACTGCTGTTGTACTTTTTCAGTATTTTTTGACATCGAGTCCATAGACTAGTCCATAGTCTAATCCATAGGCGAAAATTACTTTAATCCATAACAGACTGTGGTAAAACTTTGTAATATTTTAGAATTTAAATTTTCCATGCCCGTTTAATAGTACAAAATTAAAATTTCGGGACTTGCCTTTTGTTGTTTCCGAAAAATTTCAGAAATTTTTTTAACTATATCTCTAAATAAAAAAATTTTCGTGAATAAAAAATTCGACTTTTCCCCAAGCAAATAGTTTTCTATAAAAATTAAGGGTCACGATCGGTCAATGGAGTAAAGTATATCTTCCTTATTAAACTGAGTACAAAACATAGAAGTATCAGGAATGCAATAATTCAGTATATAAATCCGAACTCCTGACCATTTAAATATAAAGTACTGTTTTTTCGAATATCATTTCCCAAACCTGATGTGTATTTAAGCCTTTGTTAAATCTTGCGCTATTGAGAGAGATACTTGTAAATGAAAGAGAGTACACAATATTTTAGTGGTAGTTATTGTCGTAGTCTTCAGTATACGACAGGGATGAAGAGTTACGAATTTGGAATGGTACTAAATTTGATTGAAACCAGTACTTTATGAGAATTGAAATAAAGTCAAAGATCTAAGGCAAATTTTTTGAAAAAAAAAACAGTTCGATATATAGATAGATAGATAGATAGATAGATAGATAGATAGATAGATAGATAGATAGATAGATAGATAGATAGATAGATAGATAGATAGATAGATAGATAGATAGATAGATAGATAGATAGATAGATAGATAGATAGATAGATAGATAGATAGATAGATAGATAGATAGATAGATAGATAGATAGATAGATAGATAGATAGATAGATAGATAGATAGATAGATAGATAGATAGATAGATAGATAGATAGATAGATAGATAGATAGATAGATAGATAGATAGATAGATAGATAGATAGATAGATAGATAGATAGATAGATAGATAGATAGATAGATAGATAGATAGATAGATAGATAGATAGATAGATAGATAGATAGATAGATAGATAGATAGATAGATAGATAGATAGATAGATAGATAGATAGATAGATAGATAGATAGATAGATAGATAGATAGATAGATAGATAGATAGATAGATAGATAGATAGATAGATAGATAGATAGATAGATAGATAGATAGATAGATAGATAGATAGATAGATAGATAGATAGATAGATAGATAGATAGATAGATAGATAGATAGATAGATAGATAGATAGATAGATAGATAGATAGATAGATAGATAGATAAGATAGATAGATAGATAGATAGATAGATAGATAGATAGATGGTAATAGTGTTCCATCAAAATGTGCTGCAAAAGCAGAGGTACTTTTCAACATATTCAGGTACGAATTTCCACCCTGACCTTCTTGGTCTGTCCGCTTTATGTTATTGTTGTTTCAGAAAAACCTAAAGTTGTTTTATTTACATTATCCCAATATTGTTTTTATTGTTGGTGATACTTTTCAATTGCATTTCAGAAAACATAAATTCAAGAAGTATTAACTGGGATTGCGTTGCTGTTGTAGTTATTGTCGGTATTTTTCTTTTTATTGTCTCCATACGCGATCGTTTAAGTGTGTGTCGTCTGTTATACAAGAGATTTTCCTCCGATTCTTGTTAAAAAATTTGTTTATTTTAATGGTGCATGTGTGAGTTTTTTTCTTTTTGGTGTGTCGTCCGCCTGTGGTGCATTTAACCAAAAAATGAATTTTCTCATACTAGATGTTGGGTTTTTTTAAACACTAAATTAAATTCATTCAAAAATACGGACTACAGTCGTAAAATGTTTTTTTATGTTTGTCGTGTTCGAGGTGGTTAATTTGTAATTAAGCTTATTAGAATTTGTGGTTACAAATTAAAGAGATCCTATAAGAATAATAAATAGGAGTTATTATCTAAAGTCTAGCTATTAAATAGAAAACGGAAATATTAAATTTTATTAACTTAAATTTAAGGCCATTATTGATGTAAAGTTATAAAATGTTGATCGTTGGTATGAATTTATATGTATGATAAATTTTTTATATTCTACTATAGTATTTTATAATGATTAAATTTCTTTATTCTTAATGAAAACCCTTCAGTTGTAACAGCTTCTTTATTTTTCTCATAAAGGACACTATACAAAAATTTTGTCTTAAACAAAAGTAGGGAGTGTTCAGCTTAGGAAAACACTTAGTATGTCAAAAAATATTTGTGGGGATTTTAAAAGTTAATCCTCCGAGTATTATTCTTTAAGGCACGATCGTGTCCTACTCTGCGGTATAAACACACACAAACGTTCTCTTAGTAGGCAAAACAATGCAAGTCGTAAATTTTATGACCTACTTAAGAAATTATGACTTTTGAAGGTGTGTTCTAAGAATACAACATATTTCAGAATTCATGAGTATGTTTCCTAATCCTAAAAGAAAGGAAAGTCCTATTTACTATTCGCTATCAGACTTTTAAACAACATATGCTTAACATATTTATAACATTTAGAGTAAAATCTTGTAGTTTTCTATAAGAAAATATGAATTGAGATATTCCCCCCATTCAACAGAAAAAATTCTTAGATAACCCTATAATCTTAATAAACAGATGTTTAAATTCAAAATATGAAATTCACTCATTTCTACACATGGATGCTGTTGCCGATATTAACAAGATTGTTAAAACATCAACATCCCTGCAGCAGTGTAAAATGTAAAGAAAAAAGTGTAAAAACATGTTGCTACACAAGTTGCATTCAACACAATTTGTCATTGTAGCAATAATACATTTCTTAAATTGTCTTGATCATACCTGATCCTGGTGTTGATAACTTACACTTATTCATAAAATAAAATTACACTCAATTATGTGCGAGTGTGCGTCTGTCTATACAAATTGGTTGTTGCACCCAGAATGTGCCTTAACCATTCACTATTAATACAGCCACCTAACATTCGAATGCATTACAACCCAACCATCTCTGGGGTATTTGTGGCAGCTGTTTCTTTTCGATTTCTTTAGTTTAGTTTTCTTATTGTTCCAAGACATTTTTATTTTATAAATATCACCCTTTTTATTTTGATAACAACTGCATTACAAATTACAATTTGTATATTAGGAAGGAAAAAAGGTGTTGATTTTAATAGCGTTTGACTTTGTTATTGTTGTTGTTCCTGTTTCTTTTAAGGAAACTTTTAAAAGTCAGAAAAACGTCTTTTATACTTTTGGAACTAAAAACAATAGAAAATCAGCCACCACCTTTTTTCATCATGAGTTTCACACCGAAAGTTTTTTGTAATCGTAACACCCTGCATTAGGTAATTATAAAACTAAAAAAAGCTTGGTGAAGATAGATAGATAGATAGATAAATAGATAGATAGATAGATAGATAGATAGATAGATAGATAGATAGATAGATAGATAGATAGATAGATAGATAGATAGATAGATAGATAGATAGATAGATAGATAGATAGATAGATAGATAAATAGATAGATAGATAGATAGATAGATAGATAGATAGATAGATAGATAGATAGATAGATAGATAGATAGATAGATAGATAGATAGATAGATAGATAGATAGATAGATAGATAGATAGATAGTTAGATAGATAGATAGATAGATAGATAGATAGATAGATAGATAGATAGATAGATAGATAGATAGATAGATAGATAGATAGATAGATAGATAGATAGATAGATAGATAGATAGATAGATAGATAGATAGATAGATAGATAGATAGATAGATAGATAGATAGATAGATAGATAGATAGATAGATAGATAGATAGATAGATAGATAGATAGATAGATAGATAGATAGATAGATAGATAGATAGATAGATAGATAGATAGATAGATAGATAGATAGATAGATAGATAGATAGATAGATAGATAGATAGATAGACAGACAGACAGACAGACAGATAGATAGATAGATAGATAGATAGATAGATAGATAGATAGATAGATAGATAGATAGATAGATAGATAGATAGATAGATAGATAGATAGATAGATAGATAGATAGATAGATAGATAGATAGATAGATAGATAGATAGATAGATAGATAGATAGATAGATAGATAGATAGATAGATAGATAGATAGATAGATAGATAGATAGATAGATAGATAGATAGATAGATAGATAGATAGATAGATAGATAGATAGATAGATAGATAGATAGATAGATAGATAGATAGATAGATAGATAGATAGATAGATAGATAGATAGATAGATAGATAGATAGATAGATAGATAGATAGATAGATAGATAGATAGATAGATAGATAGATAGATAGATAGATAGATAGATAGATAGATAGATAGATAGATAGATAGATAGATAGATAGATAGATAGATAGATAGATAGATAGATAGATAGATAGATAGATAGATAGATAGATAGATAGATAGATAGATAGATATATTGATAGATAGATAGATTGATATATAGATAGATAGATAGATAGATAGATAGATAGATAGATAGATAGATAGATAGATAGATAGATAGATAGATAGATAGATAGATAGATAGATAGATAGATAGATAGATAGATAGATAGATAGACAGATAGATAGATAGATAGATAGATAGATAGATAGATAGATAGATAGATAGATAGATAAATGGAAATATTTTACAATTTTTACATCTTTAAATTCGTACTGAAAGGTATGTTGAATTCGTTGTTGATGACAAAAAATTTGAAATGCGTTTTATTGTTT